TTATTACATATACTATTCTTTATAAATGATCAAAAATATATTTCACGACATAAATTTTAAATAGATAAAAAATCTATTGAGAATTCAACAATAAATTTCTAATTATATAGAACACGAACAAATATAAAAATAAATTTATTATTTGTATTCAATTTGTTTATTTTCTTGTTCATGCACATGTGATTTTTTACAGTTTATTATATTTTCTTAAATCATGCCCTTCGTACTAAATAAAACCAAAATAACATTATTAGTATAAAAATAAATTTATATCATCAATCAAAATTAGTTAGTTCAATAACCATTTTAACTTGTGCATTGGTTGATAGTAGACTAAGAATCATAATGTCTTATGTATCTAAATTTGTTTGTATTTTATACTTTTTTACATAAAAAGTTTTTATTTAATAAATATACAAACATAATATTCTAAATAAATTTATAGATAATATAAATTTTATTAGAATCAATAATAAATACTAAAAGTTTATCAAAATTTAAATAATGTGGTATATAATATGATTTTAATATATTCACATGATATGTTACATCATATTAAATTTTATCGTTAAGTTAATATTTAGTAAATATATTTAATTAAATAAAATTATAACTACTAAAAATTTAATTAAAAATAATAAAAACAAAATTATTTAAAAAAAAAGCATAGATATTTGGTTTTTAAAAAAATACATAAATTTGGGAGGATTTAGGTATTTAAGGAGTTGATTAAGCGGGATTAATAATTGAATTTCAAATATATTCCTAATATAATAAGATTATCCAATTTGAAAAATAAAGAATAGCCGAAATTAGAAAAATAAAAATGTTGAGATTAACTTTACAGCTGTAACAGGATGACCCGGTCACGAAGCAGGGGATCATTTCCAACATGCTTTTTACACGGTTGGCACGTGTAAGGATATCTACTATCGGCTCCAGCGCTCATCCACCAGACTTTTCTTAATGAGTTTTTTAATGCGTTTTAATTATTTGCCGATATTTTTCTAAAAATGAAATTTCAAGTACCTTTTTGTTGATAGCTATGTGCGTGTGTATAGATATACATACATACATACATATATATATATATATTTATATTTATATATATATATGTATGATATATCCACGAGGAAGCACTCTTTTCCTTTTATCTATTTTCTTGGAAGTCAAAAATGGGGACAGGGTGGTTCTAGAATTTGCCACGTGGAACATCCAAAATTCACGGACGAGCCAAATCACGGGCGTGTGGTTCTCATTTGCTGAGTTGGCAGATTACCGCCATTCAACGGCTGTGATTGCGCCCTCTCATTTACGGACACGTCATCCTGCATGCTTAATCAATTTTTGAATGGGTTCCCTCAAAATTGCTGCCACGTCCCACACCAACCCTCACAGATTTTTTCTTTTCCCTAAAATACAAAATTATTAATCATTTCAACTCTCTAATTTTTTTTTTTTATAATTTATGCTCTCATTTATTTCTAATTAATATTTAATATTATTATATTACACGTGGATTTTCAATCTTTTCTGTTTTAATTGCTAACGTTAATTACAGAAAATTAAGCGCTAACACATATATTATTTATTTAAATCCTCCAAAAGAATTTGAAAAGAACGCGGGGCAGGTGTGACGTCATGCGTATTATGAATAAAATTCCCATGCAGCCGATTGCACGCACAAAATACATAGAAATATTTGTAATAGATTTATTTAATTTATATATATATATATATATGTATATATTATAAAGTAGAAAAATTAAATATATGGATAAACTCAAGCTTATTCAAATCGAAATTTTGGGAGGACCCACAGTAAATCAGCTACGTGTTGGAAAAATAGTGGAACCCATTTTATCACAGCGTTGACAATTAAGATTTCTTGTGTTTATTTTTCTCCTTTGTGAGGAGGTGGATTAATACCAAATTAAACAAATATATAATAGTAAAAATAAATATTAAATATTAATTACCGATATGTTATTATATATAAAATCTTATTATAATAATTAAACAAAATTCTGTGCTTAATATTTTTTTTAATAACTAATAACCTAAATAGTAAATATTAAATAAACACACAGTTTTTTTTTTTTTAATCCTTTTATCCACCTCGGATTTCTGCGCAAGATTTATTGTTCGGCCATTAATAGTTGCCGTTAAATCTGCATGTTTTAATAGATATTTATGTTACAAATTAAATTAATTAATTAATTAATTAGTAGTTGGAGAAGTTTTAGTATTAATTAAAAGTAGTAGAATATAATAAGCCAACCAATAATGCATGAGTCAGTTTCCAAAACCCAATTGGTAAAGTTTAGTGGATATGATAAACAAATGAATTAAGAAAGCAATAAATTGTTGGGTTGGATAATCCGACTTCCTTTTAATAATCTTGATTAGTGCAATATTATCTCTCAAATGGTTTCGTCCCTAAGAATATTATTCAATTTTTGTCTTTTGAGTTACAAATCTACCAAATTAACTTTTCGCTTGTTCTTGACAATGACTCGGTTAGATTTTTTTATGTTTGTATTATATCACAATTTGATATATATAAATTTCTTTAAACGGGTAATAATTGAAATAGAAATCGAGTTCGATTAAATCAGAATATATATTGTATTAAAATTTAAACAGTATATAATTATTCTAAAGTTTTGCTTTTAAAGTATCTTATCCTTAGAAATCTGTGTTTATCACACCTAACCAAACAATATGACTTGTGTGAAAAGATGATGGTTTCTCGTGTATATATATATATATATATATATATATATATATTCATACGTGTGTATAAAATAATATAACATAATATCAGATGGGTCAATGTTCTTCGGTATGTTTTCCTATAAGGCTGCGGATGAGAGGAATCGATTCTCTAATGCACTTTTATATATATATTTGATAGAGGAGGCAATTGAACTTAGCCAGATTTGTGTATAATAATTAATGATAAGAATATTAAAATAGTTTTATTATATTTTAATCCAAATCTTGGAACGAATTGAAGCACAAAACAAGGACATACGTGTGTGTTTGTATATGTACATATACATATATGTATATATTGGATAGAGTATATACTTTCTTTTCATACTACATATATATATATATATATATATATATGGTTTAATTAATAATGTCTAATCTCGATGGAACAAGTTGAGGTTAAGAGAAAGTGCATATATAATATAGGTCGAAAATGATCGTATATAATATTATATTAATGATTCTGAATTTAAATACGTATTCTTTCGCATAAATAAATAATAACAATAATTTTGAGTAGAATATCTTTTTCTAATTTTATATTTATTTTGAAATTATGTTTTATAATTATTTAAAAATTAAAACATACAATAGAAAGACAATTAATATAAAAATTGTAAGTAAAAATTTTATATTTATATATTAAAAATTAAAATAGATGATTATATATATATATATATATATATATAGATAAGAAGAAGACGCAAAGGCTAAAGAAAAGAAAATAAGAAAGGTATGAAAACATATAATTAAATTCCCATAGAGCCCTTCACGTATCAACTACTACTTTATTATCAAAGTAATTAAATTGATTTTTGTTGGTCAATTTTAATTGCTTGTCAAACCCTCGTATCATTATTATTCTACAATCACAAACTCATTTTAAGGATATATATACACCACTATCGGACGGACATGTAAATTACCCACGTTTACACCAACTTTATACTTAAAAACTATATTTATTATCATTTCTCATTATTATTTTCATTTCTGGTTGGCTTAAATCCCACGATTCTTTCTCTTTTTCTAAACAAAAAATCTTTGGGGGGTGGGGTTGGGGTTGAAAATTCAGCAAGAAAATGAAAAGACAATAAGTTTACCAGAGAATTATAAAAAGACCAGTTTATCTTCCAACCGTAATTGTCCTGTCAGATTCTGGATTTGGGTCAGACCATCATCAACTGCTCGTTCATGGACATAAAGACGGGAATGTATGACAATCGACGGTGTCTAAGTTTCCTATTTTCAGCATACGGATAAACGTTGACAACTACTTTCCAATTTCTGAAACCAACCCCTTCTGTTTTTAAATAAAGAAAACGACTAGGATGAAATCGCAACATGTTTACAATCTTCTATTTGTAAGGAACATGACAAATACAGTCATGGGTCTGTGGATGGTGGCTGTGATGATTATGGAGATGGTTTTTTTCTGCCCGCTAAAATGTTGTGCGCTGTAATATAAACTGGGAAGTAAGCAAGCAGCAAATAGCTAGAGAAAATACAAACTTACATGATTGCGGGTCAAAAAGAATATTTACATGATTGATCAATTCAACTCGGTTTCCAATCAAGATTTCGAAGATGATTTCTTGTAAGTGAGAGTGTAAACCTACTTGCCATATAAACAACACCAATAACCTTAGTTTAAAGAAAGTAATATGCAGAACTGCAAATAAGTAAGAAAGAGCACAACAAAGCAAGTAGATAATTTGGATCTCATCCTGGTTATTTTCTTTACTACCTTTCAACCAAACAAAAAACATCAAATGACTTTTTTACTTGCCAGATAAAGTTCTCCTAATCAAAAAGGAAGTTGGGGTAAACCCAGAAATTATTGGCACTTCCATTAGTCCTCTGTGCATTGTCATTCTTGTACATTGTCTTCATTCTAGAGATGGGAATTTCATTGAGCTTTTATGATATGTGTAAGATTTTTGGTGATTGCAGGCAACAAACAAAGATCTACAAAGATATTTTAAGACGAAGAGTTTGCTTTGTTTATTATATATTTTGTCAAAAAACATTAGTCAACCGAAACCAATGTAGTCTAGTCTCACGCCACTTCTCGCACAATACAACTGACGGAGGAGCTAACAAACAAATGGGAGAAACGTTACAAGGGCAAATACCAAAATAAGCATCTTGAAATTGAACTTCCTTATTTCGAGGAAGATGACAAAGAAAGCAGAAATTGAACATAGAACAGTCACACAGGTTGTCCATGGGGAAGAAAAAGCCAAAAAAAAGAAGATTAACATGAGAGCTGATAAATGAAATATACACACTATTTAATTATCTTACAGGTTGAATTTCAAAAGAATAGTTCAAGAATGAATCTGCAATTTCTCATACTTCCACCAAGCAGAGAGAATCTATCGCACAAAAAGACTGACAATTGTGGACCAATAGCCAGCCAGCTGCGAATAGAAAAAGAACATTGCTTATTGATCAGTATGAGTCAACTGAAAGGGAAAATACCGTGCAGCAGACTATCACGGCGAGTAAAAGCAGAAAAAAGAAAATAGTCTTACCTGGGCCAGAATACCTTTGCCAGTCTGACCTTCAACAAGCAAACCTGCTGTGATACCAATCATTGCCCAGGCTCCATTAATTGCTTCAATTTGCCGCCTTCTCTAAATAGCAACTCAAGTTCAATAAGATGATCAGCATGGAAACTATATCAAGACAGAAAAATATTTATGCAGCACTCCCACAACATTCAACTACAACTAACAAGAAAATTGTACAGTACATGAGGAAAAAAAATCAAAAACAAAATGTGTCACAACATTTAGATCAAGCATAGTTTTGCAAGGATTGTAGACAGAACCGCCCTTGGAGGGAGACAATTTGCACTGAGTTCATAATTATATATGAATCCCTTACCTTGAATTTCTCTTTTGCTCGAATTTTCTGCAGTTGCTTGGCAGCTAATCGTTTGGCCTCCAAAGGATCAACCATAATCACTTCATTAGGTGGACCTCCTTTCCCTGGAGACACCTACATGATAAAAAAATTGCATACTTCCATGATAAATATCTCCACAGAAATAAAATCTGATTTCTGTATAGACTGCTTTTGGATTTATGATAACAGGGAGAACCAAGAAAAAAGTATTCCTTTTACCTAATTCCAAGTTAATTAGAAACTGTTAGTCTAATGCTACTTCAGTAAATCAAGTTGCCATGGAGTTTCCAGTCATAAAATGAATTTCAAAGAAAACAAAATGCCAATTTGAATCAGTTAAAAACTATCCATTTAAAAAAGTAGATTTTTTAACTATATATCTTAAATCAGTTAGTTGTCAACTTTTGAATAAGAAGTATTATTAGCTCAAGTTACCCAAGATTGTCTTACAGATAACTCAGTTGAAATTTCCGGGTTTTGCATTTCAACCAAGTACTTACAATGAACCTTGAGAACTTGACTACAGTTAAGTGCTCACCTACCTCTGAATGACATCCCATCACAAGGTAATTACAGTGTATTCCTGAGACAACGTACTACAAACATATTCTTTGCTGCTCAAAGGAGCGTCAGACAAGCCACCATGGATCTAGCATGGCACTAAATGCCTCTAGTTTCCACTTTCTTATTCTGAACCTGAACCAATATTTGAAATTTTGTTGACACACTGAAGAATAGACTATCCATGCGATGCCACTATTGTAACTTCCTTACTGAAGTCCAGTAAATAGCAGTGAAGAAGAATCTAATGCGCCAAAAGTTAGAACTGTTAGATAGAAATACTTTATGAACTCAAGTTAGCTACATAAATAGAACAATGCAAGCCTGCTCCTTAGCACTCTTGCCAGTTCCCTTGGTCAGAATTAAAAGGAAAATGCTTTCATTTACTCGCATTCATTCACTTCCATGATCGGATACGTTTTCAAACAAATAAAAAAGAAGTTATATGCTCAAGTTTTTGCCTCAAAATTTTTCGAAGAGGAGGAAAGATGCAAGTTATAGCCTCGTTCATAATTCAGTTATGGACATCCCAAAATTTATAGCCTCGTTCATAATTCAGTTATGGACTTCCATGATCTGATACGTTTTGAAACAAATAAAAAACAAGTTATATGCTCAAGTTTTTGCCTCAAAATTTTTCTAAGAAGAGTAAAGATGCAAGTTATAGCTTCGTTCATAATTCAGTTATGGACATCCCACACCCAAAAGTTAAAAAGCCATAGGATTTGTTGAATTGCCAAGTATTTCTCAAATTATGCAACTTCCAACAAAATCTCTACCCTAAAGAAACTCATTTTCTCTTTCCTTAACAGTTATTAGTGAATAGACATGAACTAATATTTACTGGGTGCATTCTCTGATCAATGGTACTTCCTTCAAATGCTAAATTTCATAAACACATCTCAGAAACTGTTACTAATGATTTTTTTTTTCTTCTTTCAGAGAAAAATTATGACTTCAGCAGAGATTCCATCAAATTACTCGCCTTTAGATATCTGCATGATAAATAGAAACTTTAGATTTTCCCTATAACACCAAGATGCCAAAGATTTTGATTTCAAATTTATGGGGTATTAAACCATAAAGTCAAATTTTCCCTATAACACTAAGACGCCAAAGATTTGATTTCAAATTTACAGGGTATTGAAAATAAAGTCATGTTCGTATCAATTGACACATATCTATACCCCATAACTTTAATTTCTATGAGGCGCTCGTCTACCAAAACCGTTGAGCACATACCTACAAACCTTTGATCATACTCAAACCAAATCTATTGGCATTAGACATGAAGAAGCCTTGAGTTGATGCATACATTAGGATTGGCCAGAAGGCGAAATGCTTGGCCCTTGGTTCTGCTGCTCACCAAGCCCACATCTCGGTCTTTCGTCAACCCCCATCTGCAGGGGAAAAGAAAAAACTTTCAACCATATAGAAGCCTCATGCCGGAAAATTGCGAGAATCCAATAGATAATGATCATACCATTAGCTCAAGTTGTATTAAACATCCTGAATTACATAACAATTCATACTAAACGAATATCAGGAACACATTACGTTCAACAGTGACAAGCACTCATCAGCCATCACAACGAATGGATAAGGAAGCCAATTTTTCCTCTGTTCTCTTTATCCCCCCAGACTTTCTATCACTATAAATTATTATCAGTCACGAAAACTTGCCTTAAATTCTCAAGTTGGACGAAACACAGATGAGAAAAGATGACAAGAATTTAGTGGATGAGAAAAGAGGCAAGCTTTATTCAGTGCACGTTCAGTTTTCCTTATGGTGAAATTTAGGTTATTTAGTAGGGAAACATTTTGAGTGTGGGTAATTTCTAAGCAACCAAACAATTCAGGAAAATAGTCACCAGAAGAAAACGATTTCGAAAATGAAGGAGAAGTGTGCAAGTAGTTAAGAAAGAAGTGAACGTGAAGTTACCGGAGGAAAGTGGCAGAACGATGGTGAGGAAGACGGTGCGACAGCATAGCTCCATGTCCACGGATGATGAGGTGGGACGACCTTACGGATACCACCATGAATGACATCCCCAGAACTTCTTTACGTGTCCGGAGTGACGGTGTCTCTCTCTCCCTTCCCTTTCCTCTGGTGTTTTCCTGCCCCCCTTTCTGTATTCCTATTTTATCTTCTAATCCAAAAGTCTTTTCTTTTTTTAATATTTAAAAATCAACAACCAGAAAAAATATTAATTTGTTAGATGGAGAAGTTAAATTGTTACGCTCTTTTCTTTCTCGATTCTCCTAGCCATTAAATCATGACAGAGACTGGATCATCTAACGAGGAGAATTCTTTTTGCCCTGCGTGAGACCCCCAAACAAAATCTCTACTTCGGGGTGTGTACAGTCCGGTCCAAACCGAACCGAAACAGGTTGTTCGGTCTGAATAACTCATGGATCCCAGCATGTTGGGACCGAAGTTTGAATATTACTATGGTTATACCATAATAGCCAAACTCCACCCAGAAAACCTTCAACCTTTGAGCGGATGAAGGTCTCTAGAGGCCCAAAGAAATTAACTTCTTCAGCTTCTGATCAGCAACCTCGAAGCTCTAAGATGACAAAAGTATCCAGTTCATGATTATGAATTATTTCTTCAGTATCAATTCTAGAGTTTCAACTAGTTGTTACCCCATAACGCGAAGAGATAATTTGAATATTCATCGTAAGCATTAAAAATAATAAAAGTGTCAAAATTAGCATGCAAAATCATGACGGGCATATACTTAGATATCACCTGGAATATCATCCAAATTACACTTTCTAAACTGGGCCGCAAAATCTCCAGCACAGTGACTTATGGTCTCGTTTTCTTTGAACTGCTCATCAGATTGATCGGCCTTTAGGAGGTTACCCACATCGTGGATTAGGGACTAATGTACAGTGCTTTTGTTGGGTCCATTTTTCATTTCTATGGACTGGACTTTGAGCCCACTTTCCTAAAATTAATGTTGGGTCCAGCATGGTTCTTCATTTCAGTAATTTATAATATGAACGTTTTTATAGATTATATGTGAAAATTATTTATATTTTTTCATTTATTTTACTATAAGATGATAAAATTTTTTTATCAGAAATTATAAAAGTTTAGTTTATATAGAATTTCATGTTGAATTGAAGTTATATACTTCCAAATTTGATCAATTTTCATGAAATTTGAAAAATCAACATGAGATTTCTAATTTCCTAGTTGTAGTAAATTAAATCAATCGGACAAAGTCAGTCAACAAAATACAGTACCAAAATTATATTAATAAATATCATTGGTTATTGCTAATGAATGCAAATCATGTAATTGGTCCGCTAAAAAATTATTATTAATAAATATATTAAAGACTCTTTCAAAGCTGAAGGCCAAGAAATTTTCCAATCAAAGATTATATATGTATATATATATATGACACCGTCAAACAATGTTAATTAATAAACACTTCACATCAAATGATATTCATCTTCCTCAACAAGAATATATTTAATCTATCATTTTGTATGTTATTATTATGAATATTATTAATATATATTACCATTAATAAATAAAATATATGAAGCTATGTGACTTAGTAATTATTAATTAAAACAAACTAACATATAATTTTTTATTTGGGTCAATAATGCCACCTCCTATATATTATCTATTCCACGTGGGTGTCTGTATATGTATATATATTTATATATGTATATAACGAGGTGTTTGGTTTGACATTGTTGGCTTATAACTCTAGAAAAGAAATTATCAATTTTTTAATTAAGAAATTAATCATGTTTAAAAAACTAAATTATCTATTATTTTGATTGAAACATTTTATTATAAGTTATTAGATTATTATTGGTGTGTTTTTCTTAGTTATTTTTATTAAAATTTTGAGGTATTTTTATTTACTCATTATTTATAAGCTAAATAAAAATATAATAGTTAAATACATTTTTTACTTATTTAGTAACCCTAAATAAGCAAGTACTTATTTACATCAAACTATATATTGTTATTATTGTTATTGTTATTATTATTGTATTTTGAATTCACATATATATACACACAATCGTGTGTGTGTGTGTGTATATTCCTGTAAAAATTTACAATATTGTTTCCAGAGAGAACTGCTTATAAAATTAACCTCCATAATTTCTTAATAGATCAGCCCTGGACATTCATAACAGAAGAAACCAATTTATAGCTTGAGAATTGAAGAGAAAAACTTCATTATTTGAACTCAAATGCACTTGATTATACAAATTATACATAAAGAATTAAATCACACCAAGAAGTTATTTAAATATATAAATATATATGTTTTATGTGATCATGGGATATTATGAGCAATAAGAGGAACTGAAGTATAAACCAAGATTTGTTCATCACCCAACGATTCAATTTCTTCCCCTAGGGCTTCCTTGCGTCGGCAATACAAGACTGTATACGCCATGATCAGAAACAGCTTGAGCAAACCAATAAAATTTGTCATAACCAACCCAATAAACACTTGCAATAGCGTCGAGTGCGCGACGCCCATCAGCCTCAACATCTGGAACAGACCACCAGAAAGGACTCCACATATAATATTCAGAAGGAAGCATTGTAGGACCATGCCCTTAACAATGGCTGCAGCCCTTCCCAATGCCTCGATTCCACCTTTGTCTTCTAGAACCGAGACAACAGTAGATAGATTCCAGACGACAGCTAAATATAAGTTAACGCCCACGAACAGAATTTCTAAGAGGATGGCTAAGACAGCTCGTAAGGCAGGTAGGGATTGAGTGACGAGTGGAAGAGACAACAGAGGGAGGTAGAGAAGGAAGATTACTAAACCAAGATTGAAGATAAAAATAAAAAAGTAAGTTACGAATGGGTTCTTCCATGATTTCAGTGTCTTCAACAACAAATTCTTGATGGATATGTTTCTTGAAGAGCTGGCTATGGCGGAAGCGAGGATAGTGACAATTGAAAAGAAGAGAGAGGCGAGGTAGATGAGGATGAAGAAGACCCACTCTAGTCCAACAAAGAGTTTGAGATCTGTTAATAAGGCGGATAGAAGAGAGTAAAATTCAGGGGTGGAGGGGCTTGTGGCGGCAATGGAGATGAGCTTTGAGTAACAGTCGACGATGAGGGGTTTGAAGGAGAAGAGAGCTGATAAGAAGATGGCGGAGTAAAAGAAGAGAGTGAAGAAGACGATGAAGAAGATGAGCTTCTTGTTTTTGGAACAAAGTAGGCGGGTTTCATTTAGAATTCCCACTAAATCAACAAGTATCTGCCACGCCATTTTAGCCAAAATAGATCTGCTTTCTTCAACTTATCAATCATAACACATATATATACACACACACACACACGTATATATAAAATAGTTATATTTATGTCTTCTTTGAATAGGTCTTTATCTTTTGAGTCATCTGGGCATTTTGACAAGTAGGCTACAAGAAAATGCAACACGCTGGACATACATGAAAACATGAATTCAAGAATTGCTATGAGGTAGAAGTATGTACATTTGGTTAAAAATTTCATCTTTTTTTTTTTTATATTTATAGATTTTCTACTAATGGAGATACAAAATTTTTAAAGCATGCTTTTGAATAGTTTAAGCTATATGAATAAAATTTATATTGTAATTTTTTTTTTTCTGTATGTATGAGACTCAATTTATCCAATCCATAGGTTTAATTTGATTCATTCAATAATTTATTTTATTATTATATTTATTTATGATACATTTACATAGTTTCCAAAAATTAAGTTTTTAGTGTAACACCCAGAAAATATGAAAAAAAAAGAAAATTGATTATTTTATTTTAAATATTTTAATTAGGTTAAAAAAAAAACGCCACGTTAGCAGCCACGTCAGCAGACCTAG